GCGCAGGGGGGGGCTAAACCCCCCGCTTCCCCAGCGCCAGAGCAGAGCAGCACCCTGGCTAGACCATCCAGGATCTGCTGGTCATTAGTGCTAATTGACAGCAGCCTAATTAGCCAGACTGCAGCATGGGCAGTGCCCCGCCCTGCCCCCTGCTCAGCAAAGGGCTGGAGCAAGACTTTCTCCTTAAAGCCTTCCTGTCCCAGCCGGGGGCTACATGTGGGGCAGAGCCCCCTCTTGCCCCCCAAAACCCAAATGTGTGGGTGATGCCCCCTGGAATGCTTTGCCCCAGCCAGCTGCCATCCCTCGTAGGCATGACTAGAGTCAAAATCCTGGTGCTCCAGGGGCAGGATGGAGCCTCAAGCTTCCTCTCAGGGGAAACTGAGGCACGGAGGTCCACAGGGTGGCTGGGACAGGGCTTGGCTACAAGCCTGCAGCCGTTCCCAGTCCCATGGGGGCTGCTCCTCTGCCCATGGAGGCCCCCCACACCCCGGGGGGAGGCTGAGTCACAGTGAGCACAGAAGGCTGGTAACTGCCGGAGGAGGAGGGAGGCATCGCCAGCTCCCCCCAGCCATACCCACAATATGCGCCCCCCCCCCGGGTAGGTCTGGCCCACGCCCTGCACTAACGAGTACTGGGCTAATGAGGCCCGGGTAGCTGCAGGGGTTGGTAACAGGTTGCACAGCCTGCACGGTCCCCACCCCGCACCCCGGCACAGCAGGATGGGGGTGCAGAGGCTGCTTTGGGCCCTGGTCCCTGTGGGCAGCAGTGGGCTCAGGGCTGGCAGCGGGACCAGAGCTGCAGCCAAGGGTGGGCCCACAGCACCCGGTGTCCATCTTGGACACTCTCCCTAAAGAAGGGGCCTGGCAGTGCAGACCTGCTCAGAGACACCCCTCCGGGCAGGGCCTGTTTTTAAGGAGTTTTGCAAAGCCTGGTGCTGAAAAACTTTGTCCAAGGGCTTTACCCTGAGCCAGCTCAGCAAAGGGCTGAGTAGAGTGGGGGGGATGCACAACGCCCAGAGCCCACAGCACCAACAAGGGGGGACCCACCCTGCAGGGTGGCAAGGCGACACCGGAGCCCAGCAGCACCGGGGCACCCTGGGGAACGCTGCGCCAAGGCAGCCCCAGGGAGGCGAGTGCGTGGGGAAGCGCCAGTGCCAGGCTCTGCCCTGGCCTGCCCTGCCCAGACGGCCTAGCCCTGGCACGGCCTGCAGTTGGCGGCAGCTCCGTGGGCAGAGATACTACCCCTGCCCAGGCTCCTCTGGACGCCTGCAAACCCTCTCCCCAGCTGCAACTTGCAGAGCGGGTGAGGGGTCCAACCGTGCCGGGAGAAGCCAAGCAGGGTCCTCCCAGCGAGGTGGGATCCTCGCCTGGTCTGTCGGCACCACCTTACCAGATTTAACTTAAAGGTTTTATTAAAAAAGGCAAAATGAACAAAGACCAAAAATACCCTAAGAGTCCTCTGAGTGTTTAGAGAAAAACCTGGAACGATGTGGCCGGACACAGCTGTGGCGCTGCCTGCCGAGCCTGCGGGCAGAGGCTCCCCGCACCTCATCACTGCTCCGGGTTTCGGCAGCCGCATGACACCCCGAGGCGCGGGGCCGGCCCCGGAGGACAAGGATCCTCTGTTCAGCACCAGAGCTCCCACGAGCCCAGGGAAGAGGAAGAGCAGAGCAAAGCCGCCTTTTCTCCAGGAAAAAAAACCTTCCCCCGGCTTCCGCTGTGGTTCGGGAGGGTTCAAGGGCAGCAGGCGCCCACTTGCACCAGACCCCACTGCCCGCCCTGCCCTGGCAGGCAGGTACAGGGGGGTCGGGCACGCTGCTGGCTGGGGCTCAGTGGCCCCGCAGCGCCCGGGCACAACGGCAGCACTGGCAGCCTGCAGTGCCGCAAGGCACGGTGCCAGCAGCGCCCGGCGAGGCGCAGCGGGCACATGCAGACACCGACCCGGGCGGTGCCAAACCCCGAACCCCCCCTGTCCCCTGCATTACACCCCAG